CAGCAATAAATGACCCTAAGTGCCTGGGACAAACTCCCCTGCACACTGATATTATGAACAGTAGGGGCTATTTCACATCTCATTAAGCTAAGAGGTTTACATGACAATTAACACATTAATTAGCAGCATCTTTTTCACAGGTGAAACTGTGGCTTGAGATTTCAACATTTTTCTGTGTGTGAAAATGAAGGATTAGTTTATTATGACTCAAGGTGACAAGGACTCATCGGCAGAACTGGCATAGGAGTATGTTTAGCTGAGTACTGAAGGATGTTGCAACCTGGCGATGGCCTTTGCCATGACTTGCATGGAAGGAGGGCCTCTTTGTACAAACTGCACCCTGCCATTCAAAGCCCGGGCACGGGCAAGGTGCCAGGCTGGCCACTTCATGAGCTGACCATAAATAAACCTAATGGACCACAAAGTCACGCAGGGACAAAGCAAGGCCTGGACTTCAAGGAGCAGAAGCTCCCATTCCTCAGGCCCTGTCACTGTCCCGTGTAGCTCCCCACTACAAAAATTCCTTTGACTGTATTTGTAGAGACATAACACCAAAAAGGAACTCTGCTAATTTTACTGAAAATAGGTATCAGCTATAAGAAAATGTTTACTGCCCTAAAGTTTCACATCTTAGATACGGAGYTAATAATTTCTACCAGAGACCGCTTTAAAGAAGAGTTGGCACTATTAAACTGCATTAATATTTCTCTCTGAGGWTTTTGTTTAATACCATATTTAGTTTCTATTATCTTTTGAGAGAATGGATTTACAAGTGTACAAGAAGATGTAGAGTACTGGAAATTAAATGAAAGGAAGAAAAACTTGGAAACTGGAACTTGTAGCTTTCGAGATCAGGTGGATTCTGATATTCATTGGGTCCGTTTCCTATCAGATGGATGTTGCCAATCCACAGGAAATAGTGACATGCTTTGTATTGTGATCTTTCACCTCCCTCAGGTACATACTGCAAGGAAGCTGTATTCTAAACAATGTATAAACTAACAATAAACACACTAATCTTTTAGATATTTTGGCACTCAAGGCACAGATTAATCACTGTGTCATAGCCTTACCTATCAAACCATTTACAAAATAAATCCAGGCTCAGAAGGAACAYCAGATAACTTTAACTTGTCCTTTAACTAGACTTTAGAAGCTGATGGTTTTTTTTGAGACTATGATTTATTTCTTTTACTTATCAGTGTGCCTTGTTTCAAATGGGTACTGTCTGACTGACCTCTAGATACCCTTGCATTTGCACTGTGATATCCCCAGAATGTCAATGCTTTGATTCTTCATCTTTCATTTCCCAAACATTTCCTATTGGTCACTTCTGGCAGTAGTGGCAGCTGAAGTGGAAGTTTATCCTCTGATAATCTGTACTGCTTTAATRGTTCCTGGCATCCTGAGGATATTTTCCAAGTGTTATGGTGACACCAGCTGAGATCTTGGCAATAGAAAAGTGTTTCATATGTTTATTTTCTAACTTAGTCTCTTGTGGTCTTTTTTCTGCTTTCTTAACCCTCTGCCACCCCCTTGATTYCTATGGCTTAACGCCTTTTGTTATTTCTATATTCTTTGTTATCACTTCTCAGTATCTCTCTGATGACAAAGCCTCTGAAAAATCTGAGGGCATTCCCACTATGCATCCAAAAATATCTTRATAAATTTCTCCAAACCTTCAAGTCACATTTGTCCATAAGCTGAGCAAAAATCCCCTCTAAAAGGAACAACAATAGTTACATCTTGTTTATATATTTCTCTGTGAACTAGAGTCTAGGAATTACAGCACACAAACGTTGAGAAATGATGAGCATGTTTCAGACAGTTCTAATACAAAATATGACACATAAAACAGGTCACCGGATTTAGCATGTCTCCAAAATAACATATGCTTGGAAATGCTTATCCTTGTAACATCACTATCCTCTCTTTTTCTGAGAGAAAATGAATCTAGCACAAGCATGCCTGAAAAAGCAAAATTCTCATGTAATTTCAATCACTCAGTCAGTTTGTTCATGACTTTTATACAGCTGACTGAACATTTATTATCTCGCCTGAAAGAGAAGCYGTGAGTTTGCTCACCTCGGTCACCTGCAGGATCTTTGAAATGCCTCCTCTTCTGTTTCTTCCAAAGAGTACRTTTCCACATCTCCCAGTCCATTCCCGAGTCCACTGAACACGCAGACATCAATAAGTTCTGGCTAAGTTATCCTACGGAACTCTGAAGAAAAAAGGAGAGACTTGCAGATGCTGCAGAAGGTCTTCTTTACTCTCTTTGAAAATTTTGTTTTCTTGGTGGTCTGTCACAGTCAGGTCTCCGGTAGTAAACTGAACAACCTATCCTCCTGGCTCTTCTTTTCTTCTTTTTCTTTTCTGTAAACACATAATCAGGGCTTCAAATCCTTTAGGCATCACAAACTGTATTTCTCTATTGCCCTCTACTGACTGCTGGCTCACGCCGCCTTCCCGGAGAAGYGGCGAGCAACAGATACGCGGTACGCGCTCCCCGCCGCCCTCCCCCGGATCGATAATGATACACGATGACCAAAAGTCAACACAAATCATTCTATTTTTTCCTTTGTTACAGAACACCGGGCAAGATTTACAGCCTGTTGGCCAGCCGTGGTAGCTACAAAACACTAAGCGGCAGAAGCAGGAAGCAGTTCGTGACATGGCTCTGCTAACGTGGGCTTTTTTTGGCGAACAAAAGCCAGGRGAAAGTAGAGACGAATGCGTTCTGCCTTGAAATGCGGATGAATTCATCCCACTGATGCCATAAATACTGTGTCGGGGATCTGAGGGTTATCTGATGTTRAGGGTTTGGTCCTGCCAGCACTGGATGCACAGAAACACTGCCTTTTGATGGGAGTTCTGCAGGAAGGGGCTGGTAGAGAGCCGTGAATTTGAGCCCATGGTTTTTGGCCATTTCCCCTTTGTCTCTAGAACTTTGTTGAGCACATTTAGCACCACACCTAACATGAGAAACCTCATCTGAGGGGACCCGGGACGAGGCACATCACCCTGAGTGTACGGCACTGGGAGTGGCTGTTTGGACAAAGATAATCTATAACGCAAAGAGAATCCAGCAAACTAAGGAAAAAAAAAAAAAAAAAAAAAAAAAAAAAAAAAAAAAGGACTGGCCCAGTGTTGTCTCAGGAGCAGAAGAAAAAACATTTATAAGCATTTCAGCCAGACTGGAAGAGACTGAGGGAGAAAAAAACAGGGATAAAAAGAGCAAGGGTAAAAGTGAAGGTGGAGAAGAGGGGGAAGGAAATATAAATTAATCCTTTGCATTGTGTTAGTCATTACTTAATAAGTACAGTACATGGCTGTTAATCAGGTCACTCAGGCACTTGCTYTCACAGAAGAAAGTTAATCCACGGTGCTGATGCAGATGCTCTGGCCCACCTGCACCACTGCAGGGGCAGGGAGGAGTCAGGTCCCAGCTCCAGGCAAAAGAAGAAATCCCGAGCACATTTCCCTTTTGCTAGGCAGAAGCTGGGAAAGAACAAGGCACTATCTTGCTTYGACTTTTTTCCTCCGCAACCAACTTCCCTAGGGGACAAATGTGCTTCAAAAATTATRAAAACAGACCCACCCCTCAAAAAAAGTGTCCAAATTTTTTTTTTTACATACTTGTCTTCAGAAAGTACTTTTGCTTTCCCCTTCCAGCATTAATGAATGGGAATATTTCATTTGCCAAAAAATCTGTTGAGTGATGAACACTGGTTGTGTTTTGAATAGATACTATGTAATATCCCTGCTCTTCCACTCAGAAAAGGAGAGAGGTCACTCAAAAACTAAGACCAAAAAAGCCAGCAGCTAGCAACAAAAATGTAATAATGAAAGGTTCATTGAAAAAATTAGTTTCAGTTAAAAAATAGAGTCAGCAGAGGCTCTAATTGTAGCTATTAAGAATATTTCATTAACAAGTCCAAATTTATTGACTGTGCTGTGAAGCTCTCTTAAAGGAAGCTTTGAAATTCCTTTTTCCTCCATGCTTTTCTATTCCTAAAGCCCTTGGCGACTCCATGTCAGCAAATAAAATATAATTATATTTATTCAAATTCCTTGACAGARTATCGAAGCCTGCTCAGCTGAATACCTCTCCTAAATGAACACCATTACCAATAGATCAAAGGATAAAAACGTCTAGCAAATGAACAGGGCCGAGGGAATTAATAAAACACACATCAAACGGTGAAAAGCTGAGGGTTTGGTTTTAGGGCATTTTTTT